CTGGAGATGAGGCTAGAGCAGATCCGGTACTTGAGCAAAAAATTTAAGGAGGAAATTATTTCTTCGATTTTTTCCCACGGGAGGTGTGGTGGCGTTTGATGGAATGGGAATGCACATGTCTTTGATGAAGGAATTTCTCTCTAAATGTGGGAAGGGACAAGAAATTCTGTACTTCTTGATGTTTGGCAGTTATGGTCATCCCTTCCTTCTCCACGGTCGACGCACTTTGGCTCATTCAGAATCATGGTTTCACTTGAATGCGGTGGGCCAGTACAACTACATACATACTTGCGAGATCCAGATGTACAAGTCAGTGTTTTTATCCTCCCAGACAAGTCTGGTACCTAATTGACCGACCCCGGAGGGATGGAAGGCTTGGTTGGCCCGGGCGACTCACAACCCAGGATTTGACCTCTGGATTATGCGCGTGGCAAGTGACGCCACGTGTCACTACACCACCTTCAATTTGTGCCTAATGGAGCATGTTTCATTATTTTACGAATTGTGAGAAGGGTCCCGATAGTGTCTTGAGGCCTTCTTCAGGGTGGCGTCTACTGCTACCGTCTGCTACCTACGGCTGTGGAATTTAGCCAGCGCGATGGGTCCTGAACGGGGGTGGGGCAACGGATTCTAACGAGCTGGCCATTGGGATTACTCAGTGCCCCCGAGAACACCCTTCTTGATTAATCGTTTAGAATCCGCTTCTAGTGCGGTGCGTATAGGTAGGTCACGGTGCGGAGTCGCGCTCATTTGCGGTGTGCCGCGCGCACTCTGCTAATCCACTTGCAGATCCTTTGGTTCACAGATACGCCTTCTCTCATCAGCCCTTACCCTGGCATCCGCTATTTAGCTGCATATCCTTTTATAACGAGGTGGGTAACCTCTTAACACATTGACGACAACGCGGGGGATATATATCCCGCGCATTGCAGGCCATGTCGGACCGTGCGGGATATATATCCCCCGCACCCATTACACTAATTTTTTTCGCGCACGCCTGGTTCTTCTAGAAGTTTCTTGTATTTATTGAATGGAGGAGACCTTGACCTAGCTAAAAACATAGTGGTTC